CGGGAAGGACTGAAAATGAGGTCTAAAATAATTACTGCTCTTATGGGAATAAAAAGATGCATTAATAAACATGTTAATTATGAAAGGGTGAGAGAGGTCATGCAGGGCAAAGAGGACAGTCCAGCTGCCTCTCCTAGTTGATTAGTAGAAGCTTCCCATAAATCTATGAACTCAGTTCTGACTCCAGAGGAAGGTCAGGTACCAGTGGGACAGCATTTCTCACTATCAGTCAGCCCCAGCCAGCTATTTGGCACAAATTAAAAAACTTCAGATGAGTTCCTGGACCCTTTGGACCCCATTGTGAAACTCATCCTTGATCTAGAGGAGGATAAATAGGAGAGGAACCAAGAGCAAAGGCAGGCCAAAATTGTACTGTCATAAGTGGCAGTACCTTAAGCACACCCAGGTTGTCCAAGGGAACCCAGGGCCAATCAAGGAAAGAGTTCAGGTTTTAAACGCAAGGAATCTGGACACTGGGCATGCAACTATATTAGGCATCCACTGGGGCCCTGCTCCATGTAGCAGGTGGCTGGTGTGAATGAGTTATGGCACTGGAGGATTGACTGTGCCCACAGCTTACATGGGCACCGGTACTGGGACTCCTGCTTTTTACTGGGTAATCTTGCCAGGGCTGCATTCTCAGGCTCTTGGTAGCCTAATATCCCTTCGCAATGCTTTCCTGTCCACAGAAAAGTGGAAATAAAACTGCTAGAAAATGTCTCAAATAATAGCAAGGAAAAACATCGTCTTTTTGCTGGCTCAGTCATAGTACTCTTTTCAAGATAGAGACCAAGAATTATTCCGACCTGTTCCTTCTCATACTTGGCTGCTGGCTCTTAAACCTGGTAGTAAGATTTGTCCATTGAAGGCTTCAACAGATCCATCCTCAGATGATGACCCAGTCCATGACTCTCCTACAGCTTTCTCCCACTGGCCAGGCAGTTTGACAGTTCCTGACATGTGGGCTCTAATTCTTCTCTTCTCTCTCTCTCTCTCTCTCTCTCTCTCTCTCTCTCTCTCTCTCTCTCATTCTCTCACTCTGTGTGTGTGTGTGTGTGTGTGTGTGAGATTGAACTCACAACTTGCACTTGCCAGGCAAGCACTTATGCCACTGAGCTAAATCCTCAGCCCTTTCCTTGTCTTCTGGCAAATTCTTGCCAGCCCAGCCAGCGAGCCCAACATCCCAGGGTAGTCAGAGAGCACAGGTCCCCCAGCAGCAGATAGGGCCTGCAGGCCTTTTCAGCAGGAAGCAGCTGTCAGAAGAGGCCAGTGCTGCCTCAGCATCCCATGAAGAACTGGAGATTCTGTCCCTCAGAGGGAACTGAGGTAGATTAGGGCTGGGGAAAACCTGCTGGGAGGAAGCTGTCAAAGTCTTGGAGACTCAGGGCACATGCACAGAACACAGGCTCCAGGATGACCCTGAAGCACCTGCGTCCTGCACACTGAACCAATCAGAAAAGCCCTTTTGCAAGTCTTTATTTATATCTGCAGGAAACCAAGCAAGTCTTCCATAGGGCAGTTTAAACCTGGCTTCAGCCCCAGTGCATTTCTGATAGGACAATGTCCCAAAGGCTTATTTGCATGAGAAAGAAGTCAGTCCAGGAATTGCAGCTCCAAAAGTCCCCTTGCCCCTATGCTGGAGCTGCTAGGAGTCTGACCGGAACTATGCTGTCCCTGCAGAGCATGTGTCACCACCCTTCAGTGAATGTGTACCTCGCTACCTTTTCTTTGTCTCACTCAGTTCTCTGTTCCGGACCCCAAGATCCTGGCGAGTTTCCCCCGGGACGCACCTCCGGTACCAGTCAAATTCTACCTGCAATTTCACCACTTCCCTGACAACTTGTTTTCTTTCTGTTTTTATTGATCACAAACGTCCTGATAGGTGATAGGCTGGTGACTTTTTGTAATTCATGTTCCTTCATTAAAATGAGTTTTTTAAAAACTGACAACGGATTTGTTTGATTTCAAAAAAATGAGAAGCCCAAACTGAATAAATAAGTGTTTCCCTAACAGGATTGGGATATAGAGTCAAAATTCCCCAAAGTCCCTGCTCCAGAGAGGTGAAAACTTGAGTTCCCAGTAACCTGGCTGTTGCTGGGTTGAGTGCCCCAGGAGGCCTGAATGGACTCAAAAGGCACAGTGCCCGGGCTCAGAGGCGGGCAGGCGCGCCCTCTAGTGGCCATTCCTTGCTGGTGTCAGTGAATAAAAAAAGCCTGCCCAGGGCACATTTCAGTATTGCAGTCACTGTTAAAGGCCAATCCAGTGCATTGGGGGCTTGGACTGGCTCCCGGCGCGGCTCTGTCCTTTGATGTCGGTATGCACTCTGCCTTCCTTCCTTCCCAATCATGCCGTTTCCATCGCTGGCTTGCTGTTGTTCAACATTATTTTATTTATTTAAATTTTACATATTTATGGAGTACAGTATGTACTAATGCACAGTAAGAGCCTGGCATGGTGGTGTCTGTCTGTAATCTCAGCTACTGAGGAGGCTGAGGCAGGAAGGTCTTGAGTTCGAGGCCAGTACACATATACAATGTAGAGCCATCAAATTGAAATATTTAGCAGTTGTAGCCCCTTAGTCATTTGTTTGTGCAGGGAACCATCCAACTTCTCCCTTTTAGATGTTTATACAATATATGTGCTGTGAAAGACTAGAACTAGAACTTACTCTTCCTGTCCGTGTTATATGTGTTTAAGTGGAGGTCTTGTATGTTGCCAGTCTGCTTTGCAGACTATACCGCAGCGCGTGCAGCTGCAGCTGTATAAACTCCCACCTGCCTGGCCGTTTGCTTCCTTGCCGTAGCTCCATGGAACACGCAGCCCTTAGAGCAGCAGTGCTAAGTCATGAGACGCAGAGGTGTGCTCTGTATGTGGCTGGGGCTGCCGAGTTGAATTAAATCCACTGACTGTATAAAGTTAAATGCAAGTTCAGTTGAGATGTTTGTGCTCTGTATGGTATTTGCTGTTTCATTTTAGAGATACAAGAAGCTCATTGAACCCTTTTAGTGTGAATTTTTTCTCCTCTCAGAGTAAGAAAGAGAACGTGCCGTTTAATTGACTGTACTTGGTTTGGAACCATGCTGTCCTGGGCTGTAAGCCTCACTGGAAAAAAACTTGTAAAATTCTAGTCATTGAAAGTGTCATCAGGAGGGAGGGCAGGGAAGGCTGAAGAGGAATCAGCTTGTTTGGTATGTGTGCCAGCTCCCACGATGAGTGTACTGTGTACAGCATTGACGTACCTGTAAACATTGAAAAACAGAACAGAAATGACATCGAACAGCAAGAGAACACGTAACCTTTAGCTTAATCATATAGAGGAAAGGATTCTTTGTTTCTCTGAGGGAGGACCCAGGGTTTCAGTGATGACTAAGCTGTGCCCACATTATTATGCAGTTTGGTTCTAGGATAATGAATTTTTATTGCCTGTATTACCATGAGTTTGAGGCCACCCTGGACTACACAGTGAGACCTTGTCTTAAAAAGCAACAAAACGAAACAAAACTTGCTAATAATGTTTAAGACTTAATTGAAGACTTTTTTTGCATCTGTTGACAAGATTATAAAAATTTTTCTCCTCGTCTGCTAATGTGAACTACCTTGATACATGTGCTAAGCTAACCACATGTTCTGGAAAGTAGTCCCTGGTTTGTGGAGATTTTCCTGATCCAGTCTGTAATGTTGCTGGCATCCCAATTCGCCCAGCCATCCGAAGATCTCAAACACGCAAACTGCTTTTGTGGTGTCGTGTGACATTCTCTGTGGCAGGAACCTCTGTGAGCTTCGTCAGACAGAACAGGACAAAGAGAAGAGAAATGGGACGGAAAAGGCCTAACTAAGTATAACTGGTAAACTTCAAATGACGTTCTTTATCACGGCAACTAAAGGATGTGTTGATCTGACTGAATCTCTGAGACTTCAGGACAGCAAACTATTTAAAAAGCATCTTCCTCACCCTACCGAATGCTGAGATGTAAAACCTATCGCATGTCCCCAGGTACATGCAAGAGGACACCGTAGCTATTCTGCGGTTATTTATAACTGGCTTCCTTGACCTACTGGAAGTTTTCACCTGACTTTTCCTTGATTGAACTTGAATTGATGTCTGCCTTAGGGTGATGAGATGTGGACGTGTACGTCACTGTTGTGTATAAAATACATCTGCAAAGAAGAGCAGCGTGCAGAAGGCTTGCAGGCCAGACTGCATCGTGCTTGCCTGGTTACGGGTCGAGAGCGGGTAGAATATTTCCATGTTTGCTGACAGGATTTACTGTGAAACTGTTGGCAGAGCTGGCTTTTACTGGGGCTTCCTTGTTGCCAGGTACTTTAGTACCAGGGCTGCCCTCAGAGCCGGGCACGACACTGTTCACCATCACAATCGAGAAGAGTGGCCTGAAGGATGCCGGGCAGCGCATGGATCCTTACATTACAGTCAGCATACAGGGTAACAAGTTGGGTTTCCCCTCTCTCATTACTCCTAACTTACCGCACTGTTTTGAGGCATGTCTTGTATCTATGACAACTCATTTTAATCCACTTTACAATGAGGCAGAATTTCTGCAAGAAATGTTGCTCCATCACTAACCATTTCTGATGAGTTTTCTGAAAATAGTTTGCTTTTCCTTCTTTGTAACTTGCACCCTTGCTTGGGAGATTGTCTGTCTTTTGTTCTCTTCACATTTACTGTGACAGCCTTTTCTTTGGCATGCACGCTTTCATGAGCCCTGTGTGGGGTACGCGGCAGTTCCCTTCCTTGCCAGGAGTTGGTCTGTGTGTGTGTGTGTGTGTGTGTGTGTGTGTGTGTGTGTGTGTGTCTGTGTGTGACAAGGCCCTGTTCTCTCCCTGTGCCCCACCTGCTAGCCCCAGCCTCCAGCTCGTCTTGCTGTTCTTCTGACTCTGGGGTGCTGACCAGAACCACACAGTCTCCCTGCCAAGGGCTCCTGCCCTGTGCAGGTTGTCAAGCCCTTACTTCCTTGGCTGAGCCCTGTGCTCTGTCTTCCCACCCTCTGTCCCTGAGGATGCTGGCCGGTCAGGTGGGTGCCAAGGGAGCCCGCAGGGGGCGCGAGGCCGGGAAGCCGATGGCTTGCAGGGGTGGGGGTGCGGAGGGCGCGGGGCAGGGCAGGAAGGATGGTGTCAGCTGCAGCCAGAGCCCAGCGCGGGAAAGTGAGCTGTGCTGGGCCCCAGCGCTGCAGCCTGCTGGTAGAGGGTGGCGGGGTTGCCAAGCGCTTCCAGTGCCCTGCGTGCCCGCAGGGGCCGAAGGCCCAGGGCCGGGGGCTGGGCGGGGTGGGCACTGTGGCAGTGGCCATGCAGGCCGGGTGGCCAAGGGGTGGGGACCGTGGTGGCCGCCTGTCCTCTCCTGCGCCGCCTTATCTCGCAGGCGCCTGCGCTCCAGACCCAGGACCCTCCCAACTTTGAGTGGGGGTTGGCAGAGCTTTGTGTATTAATGGAACTGATGCGGTCCAACACCTTGTTCCCCTTAATGAAAAACAGAGCTCTTTCCTTTAGGTGGACAGTTGAAAGGTCGCAGGAGTTTTCAGGAATGACTCCAGAGCAGTGTCTTCCTTGGGCTGGACAAGTCAGAGGGAGGCGCTATTGACATTTTAGACAGGGCCACTCTTTGCCCTTGGGGGCTGCCTTGTTCCCTAAGGAAGTTTAGTAGCATCCTAGGCTCTGTCAACCTAAATCCAGTAGGCGGCACTTCCTCCCAGTTGTGACAATCAAAGAATGTTTTTTCAAGATAATTGCCTGTGCTCTGTGAGTTGACCTGGTTTACTATATAAGAGCCCTGGAATAAAGACTTGGTGTGCAGTTGCAATTGCTGTTTCTCTCTGCTGCTTCTTTTCTTCGCGCTGCACGCCCCCCCACCCCGTGTCCCGACTTGGTGTGTGTGTGTGCCTCTTCCCGGGGTTCAGAGTGCACTAGACACTCGCAACAGGGAGGTATGATTCCTCTTGTATTCATTAAATTCACAATATAAATATATACAGTGTGCCTCAAAATAGACACCCTGGTACCTGTACTACAGTTGAGGCTCTGGTCCTATCTAGAACACAATGGAAAGGCTTCAATTCTACTTGTTACAAATTCTACAAAAGCCAGGGCCTGATGGTACCAAAAGCAGCCAGTATTGTTTACATGAGGGTTGAATGCTAACAGTTAACTTTCTCCCATTGAATTCCAGAATCAGTAAATAACGCCTTGCCTTACAACTACAAACCAGGGAGATGTCAGAAAGTGGGGAAGAGAACACTCAGAAGCAAATGGAAAGGTTGGTTTTCCTCCCTCCCGCCACGCCATCCCATTCTGCGACTGCGGCCTTGGATCCCTGTGGGACTCTCCAAGCTCTGGTCCCCCACGCAGCCCACCCACCCACCCTGCAGTTTTCAGGCTTCCTCTCTCGCCCTGGGGCAGGCTGGGCCTCTCTCAGAGAAGCCTGTCCTGGAGCCAGGCCTGGAAAAACAGCATCGAGAAACTTTGGCAGGGTTTGCAGCAGCTCGGTGAAAAAAGAAAAAAAAAAAAGAAATGCACACCCTCAAGTTTGGTTCAGGGATGCAGCTGAGGGTTCTGATTTGGGGCAGAGGCGAGGTGGGGGTCACCACTCTGGCAGGTTCAAGTGCGCATGTGCAGGGAGGGGCCTGGGCACTTATAGAGCGCCAACTGTCTACCCGGGGTGCACTTCTCTGGCGCGCAGAGGTGGGGTGTGGGGTCAGCGTGGGCGCAAGCCTGGGGCGGTGGAAGGGAGGGAAGAGGTGGAAAGGGATGGAGGACGGAAGGAGGGAGGAGGAAGGGAGGGAAGGGCCTTGTCCCCGATCGGGTGTGGCAGGCAAGCCGCTCCCTTCCCAGCGGGTTGTGGCCTGGGTCCCTTACATGAGTGCTGTGTTCTGGGTAGGGAGGGAGGCCGGCCAGGTGGGCGTGAATAGAGCAGGTGGAGGTCACGTGGCCTGGGAGCCAGCCCGGTCAGGGCGGAGGGCGCGGGGTGCGGTGGGGCGGGGCGGGGCAGGACGGGCAGTGCCAGCTGCAGCCAGAGTGGAGCACAGGGAGGTTAGCTGCACAGGGCCACAGCACTGCAGCCACCCAGGGGGTGCCAAGCTCTTCAGAGCCCTGCACGCCCATGGGGGGCCGGCGGCAGGGGGGCCGGGGGCCAGGCGCGGGGGGCACTGTGGCAGTGGCCGCGCCATCCGGTGGCTGAGGGGTGGGGACCTTGGTGGCCGCCTGTCCTCTCCCGCGCCCCCTTATCTGGCAGGCACCAGTGCTCCAGACCAAGGATCCTCCCAAAATTTGAGTGGGGGGTGACGGGGGGGGGGGGTTTGGCAGTCACCTCTCTGGAGGACCCTGCATGGGGAGCCCGGCCCTTCCATGGCCCTTCCCTGACCCTTTCCGGCAGAACGCCCCACTCGCGCCTGTCCACTCCGCGACACACTCTCCTCCTGGGGGGTCTGCCTGGCACCCTGTCTCAGTCTGGCTTTGGCCACTACCCTCTCTAGCCCTGTGCCTTCGGCCTGGCTCCCTCACTCCATGTGCTAGGCCAGGCGGCCTTGCCAGGCGGTGGCACTTTGGGCATGGTGGGTTTCCAGGTGGGGGCCTGGACGGGGAGTTTGGCATGTGCAAACAATTTCAGAGGCAGCGTTTCCTTCCCTGCCTCGGAGTTTAGATCTGTGCCTTCCATTGTGGCTAGTGGAGAGAGATCTAAAGGAGCCCACCAGCCAGGTGGTGGGCACCGCCACGCCTCCTGTTTTTTGGCAGCCCTGTCGGCCAGTTGTGGGGCTCTGGAGACTCCCCAGGCTCTGGCACTCCTGCGGTGCAGCTGGGCAGGCGCTGGGTATCTGCAGGCCCTCACTGCTTTCTTCACACCCTCTGTGCAGGAAGGTGTGACTTGGGACAGTTTGCTTCAGCAGGTATTGGAGGTCTTGGGACCCTTTCCAGGGGTGTTGTGTAAACAGAGCCTGAGGAGCCTTGAGACAGAGTAGTTATGTTGGACTCCACAGGTCCTTCTGGGAGCTGCTGTGTTCTCAGCAGGACCCCCGGCTTCCTGGGAGATGTCAAGAGGTACCCAAGAAATCTAAGGCCCCATGAAGCCTATTCTGCTAGGTGGAAATGACTTTAAGAGCTCAACTGCAGATGCATGAGCCATGGCTTCCCGAGTTGGTGAAGGCCAGGAGCCACAGCAGAGAGAGGAAAAGTCCGTGTTGGGGAAGGCTCACTTCTTTTGGAGGAAGGTGTGCCTATGGCAGAACCCAGAGTCCAAAGGAGTAGCAGGTAGAAAGGGCCAAGAAAGGAGGATCAGAGGAGCAGTTATGGAGGAGGGAGATACAGAAGATAATGAAGCTGGCATGTAGCACAGCAGTGGTGCCATACTTGCCTGGCATGTGCAAAACCTGGGTTTGATCCTTGGCCTTGGGACTTGTCATCTTGTGCGAAGCATGGGAAGACAGGTAGGTGGAAAGTAAGACCTCCAGATAGGACACATGAACGGTGTGGTGGGCAGGTGCAGACACAGGTGCTGTTGCAGGTCAGAGGAGGGTCTCGGAGACCCTCGAGATGGCGACAGAGTGACCATGAGCATGGCCTTGGCCATCTTGCATGTTTCCTGAAGATGGAGAGAACAGTGGTTGAGATTGTGCAAGTCCTAGAAAATCAGACTGGGGAATTGCTGTTCTGTCTGTGTGTCCTGGCAGACATTAAAAGTTTTAGGGTCAGGGAGGACTGCAAGGAAGGGGTGTTTGGAAAGGATTTTGAAAGTAACGTTAGGAGACAGGTCAGCTAGTAAGCTGCTGCACTCCAGGAGTGCCCAGGGTTTGCATTGGATTTAACTGGAAATGAAAAACAGGTGAGACATTACCTTGAGAGGGCCAGGGTGAAGGGAAGAGATGAATGGAAAGTAATTCTTTGTGGAAATTGATTATATGCCAGGGTCTTAGAGCCTCTGTAGCTGGCAACTCGAGAAATCAGAAATGTGTGTTTTGCAGAGAAGTAATTGACACTCAGGCTGTGTGGAAGTTTCTGTGTTTGCCAGGATATCCGAGTGTAAGTGGGCTGCCAGCAAGTGCTGCTCCGGGGTTGTTGGGAACCTCAGGGATAGAGTGTTCCAGAGAGCAGGCATTGGGTGGTCAGAGAGGTAGCTGAGGATGTCTGGCCCGGGAGGTCTGTTTGTGGGGGTTGGGATCCTGCAGTTCAGGCTGGCCTGGAACTCACTGTGTAGCCCAGGCTGGCCTTGAACTCATGGCAATCCTCCCGCCTTTGCCTTCCAAGTGCTGGGATTACAGGCATGTACCACCTGTCATTTTCACCTCTTTGTGTTGCTGCCATTTACATGACACTGCCTGGTCTTGACCTTGAAGTTGGAGAAACAAGTCTGAAGACTCGGGGCTTTTGGGAAAGTGGGGCCATTTATTCTTCTAGGCATGAGGGTGCATGCAGTTGGAGGTTGGAGAGAAGCAGCATAGGATTTGCTAAAGGTATATATTGTTGGACTTTGAAGTGTGTTGAACTTTGGACTCCACCAGGATCTTCAGCCTAGTCCCATGTTTCATTCCTGCAGGAGAGAGGGGGTGGGTGGAGATTTGTCACTGGGGGTATTGACTTCTCTAGGGCTTGGCTCTTCCTAGCCCGTGCAGTCGCCCATTCCCAGGCGTCTGGGGACCTGCACACGGAAGGGATCTGTGCTTTTTTGCCGAGTACTGAATTCTGCTGTCTTGTTGCAGGGCTGACTTAGGGTGATTTGTGAATAAATTCCCCAAGCCTCAACTTGCAACATTTGAATTTGGAGGATGGTTGCAGAAGGCTGCAGAATGAGCCGAGAATGTAACTAGTGACTTAGCCTCCTTGTTTCTCTGAGCTGCAGGATCGGTGCACTGCTAGGGGAACAGAACTTAGGGGAGGAGACCTGCAGGGGTGTGGATCAGAATTTTTTTTTTTTTATGGCAAATATCTGACTGCATGAAAAATAATTGCATGTGAGTGAGCAGTGGTTGAGCTCACTCATTCTAGAGCAATGTTTTCTGTACTGTTCTGGCTGTGACCTACATTAAGAAATAAAATTTACACTATGACCCTGAACATACAGCATGTATGTTACAGTCTAATTTCAGTTCATGCAGGACTACCTCCCTTTGCGTGGTCCCATCTTCTTTAACATTTTTTTGGGGGGGTCTGTCTTATTGTTTTTCATTAGAAGAGCAATTGTTAGCTGGGCATGGTGATACATGCTTGGGAGGGAGGTTGAGACAGGAGGATTGACAGTTCAAGGCCATCCTGAGCAACTTAGGGAGACCCTGTCTAAAAATCAAAACAGCTGTTGTTCCTAAGT